GTCTGTGCTTTTCAAATGTGTCCTATAGTTCACTAATGAAAGTTATCCAAGCTTCATAACATTGACTTTAAATGTTGTGATGAAATGTTTAAGCAAACTCATTTTCAACTGAAAGTGTTTTTAAGTTGAAAATCTGGCCAATTGTTAAAAAAACATAACAATTTCAGAGGCTCTGCCTGTATATGTTCAACACATGCTGCTGATGTAATGACTCTAAAGCTGAGATGTTGGAGTTAATTGAATACGTCAGGATGCTTGAGTTTATTTAGATCCAGATTCAGCTATGACCCTCTGTATGTCCCTGTTTGTCCTCCAGGTGTGACCCACGCCTCAGTTTGGGCAGCTTGTATCTCCTTCCTGAGCGCCGCGGTCCCGCCGGCTCTCAGGACGTCTGCACAGGGAATCCTGCAGGGCCTGCACCTCGGGCTGGGCCGCGGCTGCGGAGCCATGGTCGGAGGAGTATTCGTCAATTATTTTGGTATGAAACGAGCATGTGAGGCGGAGATTGCCTTGCAGCACACTGGCTAATGTTTAAATGCAGTACCGGTGTAGTGTAAGTGGTTTTATTTGAGCTGCTTTAGGGTAGGAAACACAGGAAAAATATGAGTTCGCCTTGCTAATGGTTTCTCTGTTTGCTCTGCAGGTGCCGCAGAGACGTTCAGAGGAATCGGCATGGCCTCCCTCGTCATCCTCCTCATCTTCTCCTTCATCCAGTGTCTGACCAGAGACACTGAAGGCAAAGGTTGGAAAAATGCATACAAATAAACAAGATCGCAGATATGCACATTAGGCTTGTTTTGTATGTCACTAAGTAGATTGCAGGTTTATAGTATCTGCAATATTTAGAAAAGCATTAACTAATCTTGTCTAATAAGAAGTGTAAGAACACAGCATAATAATCACCTTCTAAAAGGAAATCGATGAAAAGTAGCTCCATAGTGTTGAGGTGTACAGATTTGCCTAACAAGTGAAAGATTCCTGGTTTGATCCCAGGAGGAAACACTAATGCCTTGACCTTAGCCCCTTGTGGATAAAGGAGCAGCTTAAAAATTAAAGCTAAAACTACGTGATCCGCAGTAAACAAAAGCTGTGCTTCCTGTTGATATTTTGAGCCAGATGTTGAATCAGGGCTGGTCATGTTTCCACTGCTTTTGCGGGGTTTGTCCCTCGGGGTTGGGTCTAAGTGTGTCAGGATGTTCATGAGTCACGTGGATTGGTGCAGTTTTACAGATAATGTGGTAATGAGAGGGCTTTGATCGAGAGGAAAGCTCCTGATTTACCAGTAGGTCTACATTATAACCCTCACCAGTGGTCATGAGCTCTGGAGAGTGACCAAGAGAGGTGGAGGAAAAACTGGAAAAGTATGTCTGGAATATCCTGCTCTAGATTAGCAGAACAAACTGTTTTAACTGATGCTTTTGCTGTGACATGATACACATTCAGATCCTTAAAATCAATATTTTTCTGCCTGTCGTTTCGTGTTTCTTCCCTCTGCACCTTCTTCCAGAGGACAAAATGCTAGCAGAGAACATCCCTGTGCCCTCTAGTCCAGTCCCCATCGCCACCATCGACCTGGTGCAGAGTCACGCCCCCGACGGCAGCCCGGCCCCAGTGCGACAGGCTCCCTTGTTGCCAGTAAGGAAGACCAAACATCAGGAGGATCAGGAGGACCCGAACAGGCCGGCTTGGATGCTTTCCGGTGCCCCCTGGGTCACCATTGCCTTCGCCTTCGTCCAGATCAAAGAGATGATCAGCCTGGCAAAGAACAGCACTCGAGACCCTCACCCACTGCAGGTGAACAGACAGTAGCCAAGCAGAGTTTTAGTCATGAGCACATGAAAAGAAAAACAAAAATCTGATTTAGGAACTAAAAATGTGAGAACTAGTCATTTCGGAAGACTTACAGTAATGTTATGTTTGGTTCAAGTTGTGGGAATATTAAACTGGGACTCTCCTGAACAGTTTTCTGTCTTCTGCAGTCAATTTAATACAGTTTTATTTGTAGAGCGCCATATCGCAGTATCAGGGGCCTCAAGGTACTTTATACTGACAGAATCTAAAAGCCACAGCAGGTCTGTCACTCTCTGAAGCCTCAGTATAGAGGCTTCAGAGAGTGTATAGACTTTTAGCTCAGTCTTTTTA